TTTCTTTCTAGTAATAGTTCGATTCACAGTCCTATTAGCTAGACCACCTGGAAGCTCTCTGGTTAGGTTAATAAGGGCATAATCAATATCCATAGGATCATCAGGACGATTTTCTTCATCATCAATAGCTTTCTGGGCAGTATCTCTAATATCCATATATCTATTAATTTTATTAAATTTTGGATTTGATTCTAGTTGGATTCTCCTCCGAACTACTTGATCTATTAATGTTTCCATGTTTCTTTGATTATGTGATAAAAGATTATTAATATTATCTCTATTTTTGTTATATGTAACTGTATCCTCAACATAAGCCTTAGGATCAAATTTATAATAGGTTGGTTGAACTGGTTGTGGAGCAATATTTTGAACCGGTTGTTGAACTGCTTGTGGAGCAATATTTCGAACTGGTTGTTGAACTGCTTGAGGTAGAGGCATAGCCTCAAGTCTCTGACTCATAATATTTTGATCTGGAGGATAATATAATTGCTGATTTTGAGCTAAAGAAGATTCAGGTTTTCGTTTCATCCAGAGATTTTTTAAAGTAGTAAAGAATGCATTAATATTAGCAGGCCCTGCATTCTCCATTCTATTAAAAAGATCATTAGGTAGATGTCCTAGAAGTATATTAATAATATTAGCATCATCTTGTGCAAACCCAATCAAATATGGACGAACTTTTCTTTCATAGCTATCTGGTGTATCAAAGGCTGTGAACTTTTCTTGCATTAAACCACTTAGAGCAGATTGTGTAGTTCCAATAGTTTCTCTTTTAAATTTCTCGTTAAACCATGTGATAAAGTGTACATTTGAATCAATAGCCTGATTAGGGGTTATAGGGAAATCAGCTGGAATATTATCAGGTACTATTGCAAACTGCCCACCCATCTTGGATTTCAATATATTGAGATGTAAAGCTGGATTAATACTAGCATTTCCGCGATCACCAGCCATTACTTGTCCATCAGTAGTCCAGTCCCATACTGGAGATAAAGCCTGTGTAATTTTTCTGATGAAATCATCAGGTGTCTCTTGACCTACAAAATTCGGAATCTTTGCAATTTCTGGTCCAATGACTTGCATAGCTTGTACAGCTGTTGTTGCCATGTTTGCTAATGGTTGATTAACTTGTAGTTCCAAGAGTCTAAATCTTTGTTTTAACTTTGCATGGTTAGCACGTAAATTTTTATCTTTTTTCTTCAACCTTGCATACTTGGCACATTCGGTTTCATAATTTACTTGTCTAGCCTGT